AACATTACATATTTATACTTTTGTAAGGAGACTCAAGGGACTGGAAAAGAAAGAAAACACAGAAATGTGAGAGAGAGTTGGGAAGATTATTTATTTTAAGTGTGTGTCTTGTTGTTGTAGCTGTTTTAGACTAAATTATCCACCAATTAAATCTGAAAATACTGTTTAAGTGATGACAACGTCCACCCACACAAACTTTTTCAGGTTGTTTTCATTAAGATCTCCATCCACACTGAAACACCTGAATTGTAGGAAAACTGCAAATTTACTCCTTTACTCCTCCTACTTTGGTGGGCAAACTGGCAAAATACTGCATCACAGCCTGACCGCACCTGGTGACGCTGCTCAGTCTCTGTTAGTTAATCACTAGTTCAACACTGTTTTTTTAAAGATATTTTTTATGTATTTTTTGCCTTTATTCATGACAGAACAGTTAAGAGACAGGTAATGTGGGAAAGAGTGGGGGGATGGCATACAGCAATTATGCATTTATTTGATTTACATATATTGATTTGATCGCGGCTTGTACCGTAAATGCTTCATGTTAAGCACCATTTAAATCACTATTTTATAATCGATGTCTGGAGAGTTTTTTTTCTTAACTCATAGTATTTGTTGTAACTATTTAAATTATTTTAACTTGTATTATAACAATAAACGTTTTTTATTGTAAATAACTTTTGTTTTCAAAGGTGCTATATAAATAAAGTCATCTATAATTGCCATTTAAAATGATATCGGAAAACGTGTAATTCTGCAGTTTTCTGATTTATCCACTCTGGAGAGGGTTTTCCAAAAAGTCTTTTGGTGTGAGAAACCCGGTATAGAGGTCCAAAACTGAGAGAAAAAGTGCATTTTCAGATATAGCCAGCTTAGTGCTGATGCAATGTAAAAAGTATTCCAGGCTTCATCTATGCAAGCAATAGCTGCTTTCCAACATGACATAGAGCCAAACTCTACATCATCCTGTTATACTATATTATGTCCTTGAATGCATTGAAGTGATCGATATCAACCTGTTTGTCTCCCAAACACAACTTATGCACTCTAGTCTTTCCAAATAAACTTGCAAAAAGGTGAAATAAAAGCATCTTACAGAAATATAGTAACTCTGAAGGTGTTTTACAGCATTTTCCATTATGTAAACATGCAGACTTGTATGTGGGTAAGGGTCTGCATGTATAAATGGGTGTGGTTTTTCTGTATTTCTGCATTTTAAGTTCATACTACAGCTGTCAACAACTAGTAGCAGCAGTAGTTAGGCTCTGTGGCTCACAAGTTCCTGCTATGTTTTGTTTTGCGTCCACCTACGCACGCGCCACATCTTTTACAACTTCTCTGTCTGCTTTCCCTCCTGTGCCAGCTCAATTCTCTCCCTCCCTGTCTTATCTGTTCCCTCTCCTCCCATGGGGGAGTCAGCAGAATCTCAACACAGGGATTTTTAGGGAGATGGAGAGAATGGATATTGGGTTCCCGCATCATCGTGCCAGTCAGATGCAGGCCATGGGGGTGAGGTTGCCAACAGCAGGTGGGCATGGGGTGCCAGGCAGAGGCTCCACACTGAGACACATGCTTAATTAGCATCCAAGATCTATGCAGGGAGGAAGAAAAGGATGGATGGATGGAAGGAAGAAAAGATGGCAATACAGGAGGCTAATTATGCTGTTTGAAAAGAGATGCCGGAGGAAAGCGGTTTGGAAAAAGCAAATCTGAGCATCTCAGTCACAGGATGAAACCGCTGCTCAGGCATTGTGTCAAAGCACTTGGACTCTCATTTGAGGTTTATTGTACATATGAGCATTGCAAATTTACAGCAAAACCAAAATGCTCCAAAAAATTCATTTCCTGAGCTCCGGCAATACTTTCTGATGAATGCGACAGCTGTGCTGCTAGAGTTGATTGGAGTGTGAGTGTGAGTGTGAGTGTGAGCGTTAGTGTCTGTGTCTGTGTCTGTGTGTGTGTGTGTGTGTGTGTGTGTGTGTGTGTGTGTGTTCCAATGCGTATCATCTGGCACTGTCAAGGCATAGCTTTCTAATTTGCACAAATGGAAAAGTGACTTTCTACTCATTCACACTCACACATGCCGCCAAGCATTCTGTCAGAGCGTTTGTCAGCTGGTGAATTGCGGCAATGACTCGACACAATTATACACTTTATAAGAGAGATTGTTCTGATATGTTTCAGCTCATTTGCTGTCCCCGATGAGAAAGTATTAAAAGCAGTCTGAAGATCTGCTGATTGTGAGGTTTGGGTTTAGATTACACACTAATGCATGCACACAACCACAATGAACTCCAAGATTAACAAAGTCTCCCAACTTTCCAGTTTTACCACATGACACTCATGAGAAATAGGAAATTCCCTGTCGTGTGTGTGTGCGTGTGTGTGCGTGCGTGCGTATTGTGGTCTGGCATGGAGTCCAGAGAGAAGCTGGCTTTCTGTCAGCTACTGTCTGCACAAAACTAACTTTTCCACTGATAATGGTGTACGCACTCATATATTGCAGATACACTCAGTACTGTATATTATGTCACCAGGTTCAGGTAGAGTACGCGGGGCGTGTGAGGAATTGCAAAGTGCTTGTCATCGCTCTCCACCTTTGCTCACTGACCGCCTCCTCAGAAGTCTGGCTGTTACATTTTCACTCCAACCTGGATTCATTTCATATGGCTGTTTTACCAGTTGCCATGGTTAGACTGAGACTTGTTTTGTGTGTTTATTTATGTGAGAGAGAGAGAGAGAGAGAGAGAGAGAGTATGCCACAGCAGTATTTCGAGGCACATCAGCTGGCACTAAAGCCGGCTGTCTAATTTAGGGAAATGGGCTTCCGCATGAAAAGCATGCATATGACATCCATAATATGTGTGTGTGTGTGTGTGTGTTAGTTAATAAACGAATCTTCCAGACCTACGGCTGGAGGCTATTATGTTAATACAATCAATGGACAAAGAATTTCACTCATTTTATCTAAACACACATTTCCTCCCCTCCTCATCATTCTCTTGCTCTTTCCTTCCCTTTTTTTCTCCCCCGCTTCATACTCAGAAGATGTATTATGCCTTGTTCAACACACACACATCGCCACACACACATACAAGGTCTTCCACCTGAGTCCCAGCTTCTTGCTGAGACTAATGCCCCCTTTACCTCACATTATGCATCTCTTTGCATAATGTCCCCTACCTAACAGACACACACACTGCCATCCAAAGATGGAGCATTCACTTCCCGACATCATATTAAACCTGCACCCAAAGACACAAATGCCTTCCCCAACTACCACAATATTAACATACACACACACACAGGCACAAAGCCACTTTAGTGAACAGAGCAGCAGCCTTGCCCCAGCCTTGGTTCTGATGTGCTTTCACTTCCTGGCTCCCATTCAGAGACATTAGAGCTCCCTATATTACAGAGACATGCTAATGATATCTGGTAATGCGCCACTGCTGCATTGACATGCAGAATGAGTTTGAACTCGTGAGTCTTTTAGACTCTTTTATAGTGTGTGTTTGTGATGTTAAATTCTGTATATGTGGGTGTGTGTGGGGTTCTATCGCTTTGATAGCCTGGATCAAACGCATCACTGTTTACCTCTTTGGATTTCCATGTGCATATCTGCCAAACCTGTGATTGCTTGTTTATGTAATGATGTGCATGTCAGTTATACGTAGGGCTGCTTTTGTGTATTTGACTAATGTTCTGTGCATGTTAAGCTACGGTGGTGTATGGTTTGATGATGTGTGATGATTGATTGATATCCATTGAGGAAACAGCCTGTGTTTGTGTGTGAAAACTCAGATCGCAGAACCTAAATTACAGATAATTGAAACTGTATGCTCTGTCCTCTCTCTGCCTTCCTCCTCATTTACCTTCAGGGATGGCTTTTTTAAAAACCCCTTGTGTCGTTGTAACCTCAGACCATGTCCACACAACAAAATTTGATACCACATCTTTTTCTCTGCATGTTAGCCTTCGATCCACACTAAGCCAGTGCTCTTTGTGCCAAAAAAGAATGATAGCATTTTATCCCTACAGTTAGGAGAACATGTGCCGATGAGCATTAAAGCTGTTCCGGAGGCTTGCGGTGGACCAACACCTTACTTAAAAAACTTTACTGGAGGGATGAACACCATTATATCAAATGATATTCCTTCATTTGGTTTCACCACTCATTTATCCAGGTATTTCCTTTATTTGTCACCCATCTGTAAGTAATAGGGTAGAGGTTTATCCTGCTGAGACCAAGCTGAGTAAACGGGCAGTGACTGTGCTACTCCCCTACCACATGATGCCTTTAATCCTCCGTTGTTTGCCAATAGAAAGAGAGTGAAAAAGAAGAGATTTAGCTGTGTTCTTACTATTAGGAGTTTATGTGTGGATGGAAAATTACCTGAAAATGCTGTTGTGTACCAAAGGCATTTTCATATGTAAACAGCGGTTCCAGATTTATCCACCTGAATGTAGCTTTAATCAATCACTTCCTGGTGTGTGTTTGTGGATGAGAGTGTGAACAACCCTCTGCCCAAAACCTACTCCATATGTAATGTTTTTCATATGACTGATGTGTTTGCATGAACCTTACACACATATGTTCATCGGAGGGGCACAGTGCTTACATGTGGTTACATGTGTTTATGTTACCACATGTGGGGCATTCCATAATTTCTCCCTCTCTTGTTTTTTGTTTCCACTGAAACCACATGGCTGCACTCGAACACATACATGCTTTAAATACTTTATGTACATCCACTGAGTTAAATTGCTTAAACATATAACACGAGGACGTGTGTGGTCTCCACCACAAGGTTTACCTGCTTGAATAGACTAAAAATCTCTGTTTAACACTTCTCCTTCAAATGTCTACCTGTGTGACTTCCTGTGAGGGGAAGTATGACTTCAGTGCCTTGCTTCAATGGTATTTTGACTGTTGAGAGACTGAACCTTGGACCTTTTTGGTCTTCATACTTAACATTACGTCTTGTGTCTCCCCTCAGATGACACCCAGAGGAGCTGATTCTCGACCTGTGCACCACTACAAAGAGATATTGGCGGTACAGCACCCCACACACCCCAGGTGAGACCGCTCTGCGAGTTAGAGTGTGTGTGTGTTATTCCTTAATTGAGGAAATGAAGGGATAACTTCTTGCCACTCCCTCCCTTTGTGTCTCCCCCACTCACACAAGCACACACACACGCACACACACGGCACAGACTAATCCTCTTTGGAGCTTATAATTAAATCTGGAGTGTTTGCCTTGGGAGTGTCTACTCATCCCAGGAATAGGAGTGTTCAGCTCTCCAGAGAGCAGGGCATAGGCAGGAGGATCTCACACACGCATGCACGGAGGATAGTTTGCTCTTATGAAGAATTTATAACCTCTAGTGTGGGTTTAATGGAACTGCACATGTTCTTTATATTTGTTTAAACGTACTCTGGTCAAATTAGGCACACGTGTACACATGCATACCTTCTCTGTTCTTCATATATGGGTTCCCCAGCAGTGCCGCAGCACACATTCATCAGTCCAACCACACCAGAATATTACCTGACTGCATGTGAGTGTGTGCGTACATGCTGAGCAAACGCCATATTGTGATGTTCGCGGCCCAACAGCTAAGTGGAGCGTGGAGTGGCATGGTGCGAGGAAAGTGAGAGGAGGAGAATGAGGGGAAAAAAGGGGGACACCGGGATGGAGAGGGGGAGAGTGAGAAAAAGAGAACAGTCATTTCATGGGTTATTGCGCCTCCTGATATGACAGGCAACAGGGAGCACAGACATCAGCACTGGCTCAGGGGAAGACGAGACTCGCTGAGAATCTGGGAGAGAGAAGGAGGGAGAACAGGGGGACATGTCCCAAGCAGCCAACTGTAACAGTGGAGACAATCCCAAATGGAGACAGACAGACTGAGGGAGACATGCAGGACCTTTGACAGCTCAGTCCGATACTATACTTATGTACAGTCAAAAGAAGTCAGAGTTCATGCCATCCACTTATCGAAACTTTCTCCATTATAGAATTAAAGTCCAGGAAATTGAAAACCCTTCCCAGCCATTCAGACTGGAGGAAATGAAAGTTACATTCTGTATTTTATTGCTCAAATGATTAGTCGACAACGATTTTAATGATCCATTACTTTCTTTAATCATTCTTCAAGCGAAAAGGCCAAACATTCTCTCTTCCGGCCTCTCAAATGTGAGGATTTGCTGCTTAATATGATTAGAAATTTGTAATATGATTAGAAATTTGATGTCTTTGGATTTTACATTTTGAAGACATCACCAGCGATTAATCGCGTACTCATTTCATTAATCTATCAAGCACAAATGCCAGGCATTTTTGTTCCAGATTCTGAAATGTGAATTTTTCTGTATTTCTTTGAGTTTTGGTGCTATTGGTCAGATAAGACAAGCAAGTTGAAGACATCAACTTGGACTCTTGGAAATTTGAAATTTTTCTCTTTTTTTCTGACACTTAATGGACAAAAGGATTCATGTAAGTGATAAAGTATTAACAGCCACTATATTCTCTGGCTTATATGATTAGGCATAAAGATGCCAAGTCAGGTTCAAATAATGTTCATTACCTCAAGAAATGTTCTCATTGTTATTTAACTGTTGTTCATCTTCCCTTTGAAGTATTTTTAGGCCCAAGACCCATAGGATATTATCCGTTTGAAATGCATATGGTACAGTTAACATGCTTCTGGGGACATTTGCCTCAGCAGAAGAGCAAAAGCAACAAAAGGCAGAGGGAAAGTGTTAGATAGAGTTTGAACACTATTCAAACTCACATGTTTTTAGTTCTTGTTTCTGATGTTTCTATAAAGATAAATCATGACTCCTCAGTCCCCAAAACTCCTCTGCCTCCCCCCAATATAAATACAGAGGCAAGAGGAGGAGGGGGTGCGAATATATTCCGGGAATGTTTTTTTTGTATCGAGGGGAGGGGGGGCAGGAGAAAGAGAGAGCAGACACGGCAGTGAATTGAATGCATTTTTCAAAGTGGAGCTGAACTTTGTGCAAAATCCCCCCGGGGGCTGCCATTATTGAAAGCCATTTCCTCTCAAAATGAGTGCGGCTCCACCATTGGCCTGGCTCTCATTAGCATACATTTGGCCTGCCTTTGTGTGGAGCCGGCTGGGGCTGCAGCTGGAGGGGTGGGAGTGAAGGAGGTGAGTGCGTGAGTACGTGCATGTGTGTGTGTGTGCACGCGCGCATGGATAGTACAGGAGATGTAGCAAAGCTCCCCACAGATGGGAGCATATGGAGAGAGAGAGAGAGTCGAGAAGAGGTAAAAGTCAGAAAGATGGGGAAATCATGGAAGAATCAAGGCGCTCAGGCAGACATGTAAATATTTAAATTTTAGTGTTGTGTTGCTAAGTGTCAGTACGTCCTTCGACATTATTGCTCTCCTAATGAAAGCAATAGTTAGATTTTTTTTTTCTTCCATAGTTTGAAGAGATTTGGATTTCCTGTAGCTTTAAGGAAGACCATATATTCCACTTTATATATTCCTTACAGTCATAACAAAGAACAGCGAGTCAGAGTTTACCCTGTTACCTACTTACTTCTTTCACTGTATTGGAAAATATTTCTCATCACAATCCTGCAGCCCAAATTGTGGGTTCATTATACCGAGATCACCTTTCAAATTGAGAGTTTCTTTGGACCTGAAGGAGTGGATGCCAAAGTAGCAGGGCTGATGGGGGGGGGGGGAAGTGGACCTCAGCCGGACACTTAGTGCTGAAGGCTACTGCACGTCAGCCAACAAGAGGGGCTGAGGTCTGGAAAGAAGATTTGGAAAAAGGGCTGGAAGTGGCAGCGTCGAGAGGTTTACCCCAGGGAGGGTGATAGTGCTACTTTGGCTCTTACCTCCCTCTCCATTGGCCATTAGCGCTGGGGTGCAGCTCAGCCTGCGGATAGGCTCTGTGTTTGGGGACACACACAGATGCATGCACACACACAGCCATATGGAGAATATTAACATCATTACCAATTCAAAGCAGCAGGTCATGGGCACGGCGACCCAGCCTCAGGTTATCCAATCAGAGCACCCCTTGACCCACTCCCCCAAGGTGATTGGATTAGGGGACCGGGTTGGCGCAGCAACATTGCTGGCCAGGGCTGATAATTGGCTGATTAATGTGCAGCCGATGTCCAGTGATTCAGAGAGCACAGGGCTCAAACCAGGGGACCGTCCTGGCCTTGTGAAGCCCCTGTCACATCTGGACAATGGAGATGACGCACTGTTAAGGACACAAGTTCTGTGTGTACGAGTGGAAAGGTCTTCACAGGTCCATTTTATTCCAAGACCACAGAAACCAAGTCAGACCAGGTCCAAATAAGTCTTATGTGGAGAGTGTGAACTGTAAAGCATAGGAAAAACTTGGCAGCTTGTTACTTCATAGCACATCATTCTGCTGCCACTATTGGCATCCCTTTCTGTTTCGGTCTGTGTGGTTCCACTAATTAGGTCTAATAATCCTCGGGTTTATTTCGGACAGGGCCTGATCTGGTTTCTTTTTTTTAGTCAGCCACGATAGCCGTATGGCTCCGAGGATGGCAACGTGGGTCTGTTGGTTGGTCAGTCCTCCAAGTTGGTGCTGACTAAAATATCCCAACAACTACTGGATGTGTTGCCATGAAACTTTGTACAGACTTTCATGGCCCCCAGAGGATGAAGCCCACTGATTTAGATGATCCCCTTGTGTTTCCTCTAGCGCCATCATGAGGTTGATATTTGTAGTTCAACTGCTGAGTACTGAGTTTGCAGCAACCTATGTAATCCCTTCACTTCCCTAATGTGTCCAGTACTTTGGTTTATAACCAAATACCTGCAAAACTGTTAACATTCCTATCATCCACAACTGTACTTTGTGTATAGTGCTAATTAGCAAATGTTAGCTTGCTAATACGCTAAACTAAGATGATGAACCATTGACTGTATATAAGAAATGGACGTAGTCATCCATTGGTTTGTGGACTGCCATTTTGAAGCCTCGAGTTTGGCCGATAGGGCGCCGCCATGTCAAGTTTTTGCAACCAGGAAGTGCCCGGAAGTGACGATACGGCAAAGCTAACGGCTGTGTGCAGAGCTAGCTAGCTTGCTTAGCTAGGTGCAACTCTAACTCACGTTAACTGTCATTTAACAGGGCTGATAACTTTGTCTAGCGAACAACAGTCTTAAAACTAAATGTACGCACCAGAGAAAGTGTACAGCCAACTCTTAATAAGCTTTTTCAATGGCGCTGGTTAAATTTACACAGTGCCGAGGGTACGAGTCGGCTCTAGCCTGATTGACAGGTCGCTATGGTAACAACTTGTCAATCATAGATAATCCCGCCCTGAAACATACTCTGCTTTGTGGTCTATTTTAAAATAAATGGGTCCATAATTTACTAAATGAACATCATTTTGTATTGAAGAAGACTTGAAACTAGCGACTGAGACCATGAAAACATCAGGAAAGTGTTTACTGGGGTAATTATTCAGCTGAGAAGTAGGGTCATTTTCCCATTATTTCTAATGGAGCCGGACTTCTTTTTGCCACCAGAAGAGTCTCCCCCTGCTGGATTTTGAATAGAATGTAGTAGGTTTCAGGGACTTCCGCATTCGCTTCATATTGTAGACCGGAAGCTTCCCGCTTGTGATGAACATTATATGGGCATTTTACCTGCTAAACATCAGCATGTTAATAATGTCTCAGTGAGCATGCATTTGCTCAAAGCACAACTGTACAGCCTCACAGAGCAGCTAATGTGGCTGTAGACTGTTGTTGAAAATGTATTTATAAACTTTGGGTTTGGGATTGTTTTCCACAGGTCAGTTTAGATCGGGTCCAGTATGTTGGACTCACATTGAACACACACATACATCTTTTTGAATGTGTTTGCAGTCAGCCATTCTAAGGAGCCTCTCAGGTTCATTGTTTGAGGGGTGACTGAGTGCTCAGTACTCTCATCAAGCGCTCTCTGCCCCCCCTTAAAAAACAGAGGGCAACATCTTGATTGTCCTCAGCATGCTGAGTATCCTCTGGTATGTGGGAAAGCATCCCTTAAGGACTTTCATCTGAC